AAATCCATTTGCAAATCGATGATTTAATGTCATTGGTATGTTTCTAAAGCTCATTTGTGTACTGGTAATTGATACAAAAAGGTTCTCAGGGCTGCGAGTGTAAGGGTAGCAAGACAAGTAAGAAAAGTAAATATGGGGCAGCCAGACACTTCTGGGGACTTGTCATCAGAGATGGAAGTGGATGCTTTCAGGCGCCTCTTCCCTCTTCGCTTCTTTGAGAGTCATCTATCGGAATCTGTACGTCGTGATGCAGGCCACTTGGAAAAGCTAGAGAGACCACCATAGCTCTTGGTTGGCAAAAGCTTGTTTCTTGACATGTCTATAGTTTTTCCACCTTTCACTTTTACAACTAACTTGATTGGTGTTCTTAATTGAACTGCACTTTTTGCTCTCTACTTTTATTGAACCCTGTTATTTTATAGGGCTTGTTGCATCTGCTAATGGCTCAGCACTCGCAAAGATTGGTTCCACTGTGAGTCTCTCTACCTCTGCCCAAATGCATGCGTGCGCATGCTTGCATGCATAACTTTTTTTACGTATATGATAGATGATATCTATGCCTTTTATTTAATGATCCTGTCTTGTATTTGTTTCAACTAAGACATTTGAATTTTTTCTTGCAAAGACTATGTTGGCTGCTATCAAAATGGAAGTCATGGCCCCTTCCACAGAGTCCCCAGATGAGGGCTGCATAGGTTCTCTGTCAAGAAGACATATTTTTCCATTTTTTTTAATACTCAAATATGTTTTCATCTTCTCCAGTTTTATTTACAGGGTCTTATCCTGTAACTGTTTGTTATTTCAGCTGTTGATTTCCACATGCCTCCAATTTGTTCTCCGATTGTTAGGCCTGGCCGGCCAGCTGAGGCAGCACCTATTATATCAAAGCAGCTATCTGACACAATCTCAAGGCATGTCGAATTTTCGTTTCTCTAGTGACCTATTGCTGTTCTCAAAATCACTTCCTTAATCCTCTTCAACTGGAATATCTTTTCTTGTTTGTTTCTAATCTGTGCAATGTTGCTTTCAAGAAAATATTTATATTCATTTTCTTGATAGAAGAGAGAATAAAACTTTTTTGAGAGAGTTCATTTTTATTTGCATATTTTTCTATTCTTCCAAGTATTTTCCGTGTCACCGTGTCTTTCCTTGAGACAGATAGGTGGTCATACCTTCAACGTTATTGGTGTTAAAGAGTAATCACTAGACATTATTTTTGGCTCTTTTGGTTACTAATTTTCATCTATATTCAGTTCCTTTTGGATCAATATGTTGTATTGAATTGTAAGCCCCTAGGTTTTTCTTTATTTAAGCAGCATATTCACCTTGGTATGGGCTCTTTCAATTTGATTCCTTGTAGATTTGTCTAACCTGTGAAAACTGGTTTACTTACTGTAGTTCTGGCATGATCAATCTGAAGGAATTGTCCTTAGTTAGTGGAAAAGCTGCTTGGATGGCATATTTGGTAAGTAAGGATATTTCTACCGTCTTCATTTTCATTTTAACCTTCCAATTTATGAAGCTTGCGGGTTTTTGTATTTCCACATTAAGTTTGTCTTCCTTTCTGGTAGATGGTTTAGCTTTTAACTGCATAATCCCGAAACTATATCATGCTTTCATACGGTTGATTTCATGAATTTTTAATGTTATTACTTATTTATTGGGTCACAATAGTTTATGATTTTTTTTGTAGGACATATACTGTCTGGATGCAGATGGTGCTCTTTTTGATGCTGCATTACTTTCTGCTGTTGCTGCCTTCTCCCATTGTAATTTAAACGCTTCTCCATTCTTTAATATCATCTTTACCCATTTAAGAGGATACATAGCCATATTTCTATGAATGATTAATCAAAATTCCTTGAATTTTCTTGTCCTTGCAATATTACGTCTCTTATTTATCCAGATAGAAACAAAGTCCTCTTTCTCCATCTCTGATTGTGGTCAAGTATGTACCTGATCCTGTGAGGAAGAAAGTGTATCTTATTTTGGATGCAATTATAATTTTTAAAAATTAGAAGTAAATTATGTACAAAACAAGGAGTAGTTTTTTTAATAATTTTTAATAGTTTATAACTTGAATTTGTTTACCTGCTTTTATGATGGCAAAGTTTGATTTCTATTTTGCTGAAAAATAGGGTGATGATGAATTGTAAGGACCAGTAACATCAGCAAAGATGGCTTAAATTATCCTTTTTTTTTCCTTTTTGTTGGGAGGCATGGGGTTTGAAGCTCCAAATCAAGCTAATGACTTAAGTATATGTTCATAGGCGTTGTTTTGGTTCCTATATCAAAATTTCACAAGGATTTAGTGACAGTAGAAGCTTGTTTTTGAGATTGAGCAACATGAAAACCAAGAAATTCATCTATAGGTTTAATTGCCACAAAGAGTGTGGCACTGTTTGGGGATATGCCTTACAGTGTGGCTTATGCTTGAAATCTGCCATACAGGATACTTTTCTCCAAATGTTTTCTTGTAAGAAAAATATTTCGCTAGATCTGGATTTGATTGGTATAGAATTCTGTATTTCTGTTTCTGCTTGAGCTTGAAAGTTGTCTCAGTCCTCTAGTCTGAGCACTTCTCGAGAACTGATTTTAATTTTGTACTACACTAGGCCTGAATTTTCCCAGAGGAACTTGTTCCAGCATTTCCTTAGGCTAAGATTTTTGTTGCTCATTTCATCTAGGCTCTTCTACTCTTGGTGGTTTGAGAATTAAATGATTGTCTCATTCTTGTTTCTTGGGAGGGATAAACTGGATGAGTGGTTGCTACCGAATGATTGACTGTCAAACTTAGTTCTGGAATTTTCTACTGAATGGTGTGCAATAAATTTTTTTGTTTGAAAGAATTCAAACATGTAATGGCCATCTGTAATCTATTACTATTTTTGGAATTTCTCATTTGCTATCAAATTTCAATACAGTGCAAATTCCAATTGTTTCCCTGAATGACAATGGAAAGGTTGTTGTGGTTTCCAATGAAAATGGAGGAATGTTTGAAAAGGAACCAGTTAATAGGGAGAAGAGAAAGCTCTCCCTGCGCAGCATCCCTTTCTCATTAACATGCATACTTCACAAGAATTACATTCTGGCAGACCCTACAGCAGAGGAAGAGTCAATCATGGAAACCCTTGTAACTATTGTTTTGGATCAATCCAGTCAACTCATTTCTCTTTACAAGCCAGGTGGACCAGTTCTTGGGTTTACATCTACTATTCAGGTTAGTTTGCATTTAATGTTTCATTGCTAGAACAAGATATGTTTCATTTTGTATGGGGATGTCCATCAAAATTACCGAAAGGTGATAGTATTTACTCTGAGAAACCATGACCTAGAACAGTTCATAATACTTATTTGCTGGTCTTGTAAGTTCTGCTGTGTGGTTGCAGGATTGCATTGGATTAACGAAGCAAAGAGTGAAGGAACTTACCGAGATTTTAGATGAAGCAATTTCTGGTATGGAAGTTGATTGAGTTTCTCATAAATCCTATGAGAGATAATCTTCATTTTTAGGCCGAGGGTGGGGAAACCTATTTTGTTTGAGTCTGAGCACTAGGGGTTAGTGCTGGAGTTGCTGGCATCTTTGAGCACAATCAATTAGTAGCACGTTGTAGGACACAAGTAGTTATACTATTTTGTTTATTCTGTCAGATTTGATGATGATAATTTTGGCAGAGTTTTGGTTTTTTTAAGGAAGAGATTTTTGGATAATTTTAAATTTGCTTTTTTCTTGAGGAAAATTATTTAGCTTTTATTTTTAAGAGAGGGGGTTTAAGTGGCAGCAGCAAAAGACCTAAAGTCAGTTTTCTTCAGGGTTAGATTTTGCCTTACAGGATCCATTCTGTTCCATTCTCCTATCTTTTTCGTGTTTGAGTTCTATGTTCGCTCATGATATCTTGCATTGATAACAAAGACTTGGCTCGAAGTCATGCTCAGTCTTGTGACAAGATCTGTCCTACTTGACCAGTTGTGCATGACTGGATCTATCCTACTTGACCAGTTCCATCGTGACAACCTATTGAATTTTTTGTTTAATTCCGAAAGTCTTTGCCTGGCTGTTACGATGCTGAAGGATGGCTGGATCATGGCAAGGATCTTGTTAAGAAATTTTTTTGGGTCAATAAATGCCAGCCAGCCCTCAAAATAATGATGGACAAATAACTTGTCTGATTTATGGATGTTGATGGGCAAAAATCTTGTCTGACTTATAGGCATGAAAAGTCTGGCAAGAAGCAAACTACAGTAAGCCCCGGCTTTTATAGGCTGATAATGGTGCTTTTTGCATGACAAAACTCGTGTTCTATTTTTTATCATGAATTTCGTGAAAAACAAAAATTGCATTGTATTTAGTTTAAGTTTTATTTACTCCATTCAGTTTGTAACATTTAATCATTAAAGGTGAAAAATTTACCATAACTTACATTCATTTTTAAAATTTAGGTACAAATTGATTATAGTTTACATATTTCAATACAAATCTGGTTAGATTTGTAATTTTTTTGTTTATTACACAGAATTTTTTAGTAAAAATTAAAAAATTCGTCAACAAATAATATGTAAATTACTAATTATAACATAATACAAAACGATTTTTAAATGAGAATAAATGGCAGGATAAACTCGTAAGACAAACCATCTTTTCTTGAATCGGTACAAGTTCGATCATTTTATATAATCAATAAAAAACCGGAGCAATCCAACCAGTTGACATCGTCAAAGATCTTATGGTTTTCCTCGAAAATCATTCCCAATACTTCAATGCTTTGACGTGATCATAGATGGAGCCTCTAATTGTAACCGTATAAAATGAAATGCTGCTACGCGCTCAAATACAACATGTCCCAAAACTTTTACTGCTCTACGGATAAAATCAACAGACCCAATGCCTTGAATTTGATTACCAGGGTTCTCATGACAAAAACGGAACCAACACGAGGCACAACCAACAGAAACCATCGGAAATCAGCACGTCAACCACTTAATATAACATTGATCTAATGCATATCATTCAGAAAAGATAGGTTGGGAATTCAAAATTTACAATTTCTAATGCGTATCTTTCAATATATATGGATGAAACTCGCTCTCTCAGCTTTACGCCAATAAATGCATAAGCGGAAAGCCCAATGAGTTGGAAACTGCAAATGAGAGTTTTTTTTTGTTTTCTTTCTGTTTAAATTATTTGCCAAATTGTAGCAGCAATTTGGGCAGAATAGGGTCATGAAATCTGATATTTGTCCTTCACTGCTAGGGCTGCTGCTCTGTACCATGTAGCTGCAGCCATGGCACCAGGGTCTGGAACTAATGCAAGGAGCTCTCCAGAGACATAGGTTGACCGACCAGCCTGTGTTAACTAGTAATCAGATCCCCAGAACAAGAATGCATACAAGTGATTGAGCAATGACTTGAGCCAATCTAAGTTCCTGCCCTTTTTCGCAAATACTAATCCTTGAAAAAAATATCATTTTTGTTTTTTAAATATAAAGTGTGAATTGTGTATTAATATAGACACCAAGGAGGTGCTACCCATATACAAAATTTACAAGTCAATTAAAAAAATTGTTTTTTTTTTTTGTTTCTCATCAATGTCAGATTTATGCAGACAACCAATCCCAACTTTATAATGTCTTCTCATCAGAATCACAGAATGTACAA